ATATAGTTGGAATGAATTCCAAATACCAGAGAAAATTATTTCCAATAGATATTCTATATTCAGCCAACCTATCAATAACCATTTTCTACAGATATTCAAGGCCTCAAACATAATCTACTTTCCCTGTACTCCTTCCATAGGAAGTCACTAAGGACTAGATTCCACCAAGGGATGGAACAAACCAAGAAAGAAGACTGGAGATATAGAAGTAACTAATCTAACACAGAAGGGGAATGCCAGGTTGAGGATTATGACAGGAGGTCCCAAGCATGAGGATGATCTAGTGAGCACTCAGGGTAGACCAACAGGCTGAAAAACAGCAGGTGAAGGTGTTCAGAAGACACATTTGATAAAATGGCTGTGTGATTACATTGTAAGTACATTACAAGGATTGGGGAAGATTAGGGATAAGTAAAAACAACAGAGATAAAAAGCACAGTGGGAGAAGCATCATGCTCTGTAAATGTCTTAGCAACACATTACACAGGTCTCATAATTTGGACAATGAATGTGGATCTATCCCAAACAAACACAGCGGAAAGAAGGCAAATGGAAGCAGGGGTTAGAGGTTAGAGGTTGTTAGAAGTGCAGAGAAAAGAGCAAAATTCTTATGTTCTGGTAGGAAAACCATAGGGCTCCAAACCAATAATTAAGAAGAGTGAGAAGAAGTGAGATGTTAAAAGAGTGAGATGAAGATGAATACCAAAGGACTCAATCAACTTAAAGAACTAAAAGTAGATTGTTTTATGATCAAGCCAAGGAGGAGGAAGATTTTGTGAAATCATTGAACTTTACAAAAGTAATTAAAACTATAAAAAGATAGATTATATGGCTGGGCTATGATGGCTTATGCCTGTAATCCTAACTACTCAGCAGACTGAGATCTGAGGATTGAAGTTTGAAGCCAGTCTTGGGAGAAATGTCAATGAGCTTCTTACCTACAACCTAATCAGCAAAAAGAAGCTGGAAGTGGAGGTGTGGCTCAAGTGGTAGAATGGCAGAGGAAAAAGCCAAGGGAGAGTGAAAGGCTTTGAATTCAATTCCCAATACTATTTCTCTCTCTTCCCCTCTTCCTCTCCCGCTCTCTCTCTCTCTCTCTCACACACACACACACAAACATGCATGCACACACATATGCATGTGTGCACGCACATGTGATTATATGGCAAGTAAATCTGCTGACACAATTTTGTCAGTAATGTTCAGTAACTATTTCCCGAATATACTGGTATTCAGTACCAGCTATTGGGCTAGAACTTGGGTTCCCAAGATGGCCCAGTGACCCTTTTATACAGTCCATGAAGTCACAGAAAACTACTCTAATGCTACTGGACATCCATATCTAGAAGGTGAGAATTATTTCCAGGAGACACTGATATCTATGTTGGGACTAAAGAACTGAGCACATATAACCTTCCAGTAGAAAAGAACACAGGATGTGGGCACCCATGGACTCTTCTTTTTAGTGCTGGTCCTAGGGCTTGAACTCAGGAACAGAGCACTGACCCTGAGTGTTTTTGCTGAAGGCTAGTGCTGTACCACTTAAGCCACAACTCCACTCTTGGGTTTTTTTTTTGGGGGGGGGGAGTAGTTTATTGGAGATAGTCTTATAAACTTTCCTGACTTTGAATTGTGATCTCTGCCTCCCAAATTTGTAGGATTACAGGCCTGAGCCATTGGTACCCAGTTTGATCTTCAGACTTTCGTTGTAGAGAATTCTAACACTTGAGGAAAAGTAACTCTCTTAAGAATTCCTACAGTGAGTCAAGAGAATGAGTATATAATTCTGGTTACTTCTTCATTATTCAATGTAGGCATTTAAAAATTTCTAATGCACGGACACTATCACTATCACTCAGTACTCAGCCTTTGGCTTTGCTGATCACCTTTTCTTACTGTAAACCTTACCCTTCCCTTGTGATCCCACAATCCTACTTCTTTCCTGCTTTTCTTTCTACTTCCACAAAGAGACAAACCTCTGGGGACTTCTTCAGCATTTTGGATTCACATAGTGGTCATGGTTATCAGAGATTTGTACCTTGTGACAGAGTTTTTAGGCAGGTGGAACATTATTTTAAATATCAACAATGATCACAACCAGTGGAGTGCCAGCCATGGTTAAAAGACTGAGGATGACACAAGACTGGTTCAAGTACTTATCTTGACTAAGGTTTATAAGCAGCTTTACTGGCTGCCTTTATTGGTTTTACTGGCCAAACTGAGAAGAGGTAATCAAAATGTCCTCTTTAAACATTATTTATTGTTATGTATTTACTACCTTTCCAGATACAAAAATGTTTCCCACAGACATATCTGATAATATTCAAGAAAATATGGAATAGAAATGGGTCATTCTTTTTTTTTTAATTGTGAAAATACTGTACAGAGGGGTTACAATTACATGGGCAAGGTAATGAGTACATTTCTTACCAAGCATTTTTGCCTCCTCCTTTGTTTCTCCTTCCCATCCCTTCCCATTCTCCCCCCCCATTACCCACCCCCTCAGCCCTGGCCAAAGTTGTAAAGTTTGTTTTTCAACATAACTTGTACATCTCATTGTTGCAATGGGTCCACCTGTATCCCTACTTAAATGATCTGTTTTTCAAACATATAAATTTATTTCAATTATGCAAATTGCTTTAGGACTCTAATCTTGATTATAAAAGCGAGTTGGAATTTATGATTTTTGGTAGGAGAAGACAAGAGGATTAAGAAAAGAAATATAGTTGGGGTATATTTGATCAACATACATCATATGAATGTTTTAAACATCACAATGAAACCCTTTGTACAATTAATCTATGCTAATAAAATTATAAAAATATTTTTCTAACTTTTCAAAAAAGACTACAACATTCTAGTTCAATTAGCAAATACCGTATCACTTGTTCAATGCAGAAAAAATGTGGTACCTTGTACAAAACTTGAGTTAAAACTCATTCTCTAAGAACTCCATGCAAAACTAAGTCACAAGGGAAATGAGTCAGTAAGCAGTGCCTATAACAATGATGCTTGCTTTGCAATGCCCACATCATTTCTAGAACATGCCACTTTCAAGGTATACTGATACAGAAAGTCTTAGTAAAACCACATTATTTCTAGTAGTTCTTTAGCATTCAAAGCGAGCCAAAGTAGCAAACTTATACAAAGTCATGCTGACCCCCACAACTTGGATGTACTAAAAGCCAGATGCTACTTGCAGATGAAAGTACCTTGAAGTACCTCAGTCCTCTTCCTTCTTCTCAGCTACTTTTGTGAATAATACTCCAAAGCCTAGCTGTCCTTTCAATGTTCTTCTAACTTATGCCATGTTTCTCCATCTCCTTTTCCCCGTAAATTCATCTTCTGTAACTCAAGTGGCTCTTGAAATCCCCTTCTTCCAAGAAGTCCCCATGACTTGTTGGAAGAGTAGTCCTTGAACTCCCTCATTTGCATGTGGGGTTTTTATACCACTACCCACCATTCTCTTAGCCATAAAAGCCATTAAAGGAACCTGCATGTTCCTATGTTGCTAGAGGTGCTTTCCTGGAGCTGTGTCCCCAGTGGAAGGATGGCAGAAAGTATGTTCATCTGGGAAGAAGAAGTGGGAGGTGATGAGGTAAGAAGTCAGGAGAGCCAGAAGCTGTGAGTTCAAACAGAGGTCCTACAGCCTCAGAAGTCACCCTCTCCACGATCACATCTCATCTGCTAAATGAAGACAGGAGTAGGCCTAGCCTTTGAGGTTGTCCTATGTTGTTGTGAGGCTCAAATGAGGTAAGGTAGTACAAATGGCGAGGCCCCAACCAACAGAATCAGCAGGATACTTAATAAATATTGCCTAACAATGACACAACAAAATATAGGGTAAGCCAGAACTGAAGTATTTATTTTGAGTGTTAAAATTAGACATATAGTTATATAGATAATGAAAATGTTAAAATAAAGATATTCATGGAAAAATGTTAACTAAGTTATGGGGAAGACAAATATTTTATTGGCTGAACATGATGCATCAGATTAAAACAACACAAACATTCAAGATTGCAGTTTTGTAATGTAATGCCACTGAGCTAGGTAAAATGGTTAACACACACGGGGTAGACAATATTATGCATACTGCTTAATGGCTTCTTCAAATACATTTGTAAAAGATTAATGAACTGATGGTGCCAGAGCAACATTCTTCCAGCTGTGCAGCAAGACACTTCAAAGTGTAAGAAGTGGAGAGAAGGTAAGCTGCCAGAGGGGAAGGAGCAACTAGCAGTAGACAGCAGTGCTAGCTGCCCCATGAGCCTAGCTTATTGTTTTAGGCCACACTGAAGACTGTGCTACTTTAGCAGTGCTTGGGAGTGTGAAGCCTCTGGCATCCACCCTGTGTCACACGTAACACACAGGTCCTCCTTGGGGAGCTGCAGTATAGACAACAAATGACACATATCAAGGGTGAGAACAAAAAGCTACAATTGCACTAGGAAAAATGACAGTAAAATCCAGAGCATTAGGTATCTTAAAACACACCTAAATGAAGCTTTCAAAATCCTTTCCTATATCGGAAACTGCTGAGATTCCATCCTAATAAATGAGATGCTTGAGAAACACTTTCAATCACCATATACCACTTCCATAATATACTCCTTCAAGAAGTCCTTCCTGAAGCTCTCCCCTTGCAGCATTCAGATAAGAGAAAAATCCTACTGGGTTGAATCCAACCAAAAATGGCCAAAAATAACAATGAAAAGCTTGGGTAATTCAAATATGATCATTTTGGGTCAAATTAAACATATACCAGCATTGTTTCCTTTGGGTGGTGAAGGGATTAGAAACAGAGTGCTTTATATACCAAATACCTTTAGGGCATTTAAGAAAAGTGAATAGGGCTGGGAAGGTGGCCTAGTGGTAGTGTTCACCTAGCACGCATGAAGCCGTAAGTTTGATTCCTCAGTACCACATAAATAGAAAAAGCCAGAAGTGGCACTGTGGCTCAATCATAGGGCGCTAGCTTTGAGCAAAAAGCTCAGGGACAATGTCCAGGCTCTGAGTTCAAGCTCCAGAACTGGCCAAAAAAAAAAGAAAGAAAGAAAAGAAAAGTGAATAGTCTTAATGCTTGTTATCTTTCTGAACTGTTCTTCTTTTGCAGGCATTTATGTTTTCATCATGGTGGAAGAAGCAGCTTGGAAGCAGGTGAGTTGCAAGTGCATGCTGCTCTTAAACTTGTTCAGCAATTCTTCCAGCAGCCTGCAGGGAGGAGACATTGTTTTACAGCCTGACAGGGAGAGTGCCCTAGCAACTAACAGAGCGGGAGCTGGCTGCTCAGCATTGCCTTCTGTTTGCTGTTTTAGAATGAAGCTGCAAATGTCATTATCTAAGGGTTTTAGCTCAATAAAACATAGACAGACATCAAAGATGCTAGTAAAAAGGAATTTCTGCTGGGCGCTGGTGGCTTATGTCTGTAATCCTAGCTACTCAGGGAGGCTGAGATCTAAGGATCACGGTTTGAAGCCAGGCTGGGCAGAAAAGTCCATGAGACTCTTATCTCCAATTTAAAAAAGCCGGAAGTGGCACTATGGCTCAAGTGGTAAAGAGCTATCCCTTAGTGAAAGGAGCTCAGGGACAGTGCCCAGGCCCAGAGTTCAAGCCCCAGGATTGGCCAAAAAAGGGGGGGATTTCTTAATATGCAAATCTATTCCAATATTTTATTATTTTATTTTATTTTAGGTCAGTTGTAGGACTTGAACTCTGGGCCTGGGCGATGTCCCTCAGCTCTTCAGCTCAAGGCGAGCGCTCTACCACTTGAGCCACAGTGCCACTTTCGGTTTTCTGGTGGTTAATTGGAGATAAAAGTCTCATGGACTTTCCTGCCTGGGCTGGCTCTGAACCATGATCCTCAGGTCTCTGCCTCCTGAGTAGCTAGGATTATAGGCATGAGCCACTGGTGCCCAGCTATTCCTATACCTTAAAATTCCCTTTTTGTCTTCTTCCTTTAGATTGAGACCTTCCAAAAACAGGATTAATACTTTGGCTTTAAAAACTTTATTCTGAAAAACTAATGAATATTAAAATTCATTATGTGTTGCATGTCTATGTGTGTACATGTCTGTGTGTGCCTGTATGTGTGCACATGAGTCATACTGGGGCTTGAGCTCTTGTTCAGCTTTTTCTCAGCTGATGTTCTACCACTTGAGCCACACTTTCAGCCTGGATTTTTTTTTTTTTTTGGTCGGTTGTGGGGCTCGAACTCTGGGCCTGGGCGCTGTCCCTCAGCTCTTCAGCTCAAGGTGAGCGCTTTACCACTTGAGCTACAGCGCCACTTCCAGTTTTCTGGTGGTTTATTGGAGATAGGAGTCTCACGGTCTCTCCTGCCCCGGCTGGCTTTGATCCTCGATCATTAGCTCTCAGCCTCCTGAGTAGCTAGGATTACAGGCGTGAGCTACCAGCGCCCAGCCTCAGCCAGGATTTTTATTGGCTAATTGGAGATAAGGGTCTCATATACCTTTCTACCTGGGATGTCTTTGAATCTCAATCCTCAGATCTTAGACTCTTGAATAGCTAGGATTACTGGTATAAGCCACAGGCACTCAGCTTAAAACTCACTCTTTTGGTCAGTTCTGCGAATGCTGACAAACACATACAGTAAAACAGCTCCATACCAGAAGACAAGATAGTCCACCACCTGAAATGTGGTCTGCTCCTCCTTCTCCCAATCCCAGTTAACTCTCAGTGCTATTGGTAATTTCATCTCATGAGTCATTCTCAGGACCTCTTTGTGCTATGGGTTCCCACAACATTTACCTCTTCTAGGTCAGGGAGCTGAGCACCCTGGGTTTCCCACAGTCCCCTAATCACTTGTATGTGGATGGATCAATCACATGCAAATGTGGACAGACTTCAGTTATACCTGGTGAAGAAGCAGAGTTTCCACTACCACAGCTGAGGCCAGACTGGGCAATTATGAGCATTTGCCTGGCCTCAATTTGCTCTCAGGTCAAAATTTCCTGTTATATGAACAGTAAAATTTAAATGCAGGCCAGGCACCAGTGGCTCATGCCTGTAATCCTAGCTATTCAGAAGGCTGAGATCTGAGGATCATGGTTCTAAGCCAGCCCGGGCAGGAAAGTCCATGAGACTCTTATTTCCAATAAACCACCAGGAAACAGAAAGTGGTGCTGTAGCTCAAGTGGCAGAGTACTAGCCTTGAGCTGAAGAGCTGCGGGACAGCATCCAGGCTCAGAGTTCAAGCCCCATGACTACCCTGTCCCTAAAAAAATTAAATGCAGATTGAGATCAAATTTAAAATGCAGGTTGAGATAATTAATATGGCAGTAATGAAGTATATATAGGTTTATGTGTGCAGACTGATTCTTTTAATACTTTATATTTTGCAGAGGAAAAATGTACATCACTGAGCTAGTCAAAACAATCACTGAAGCTGGGCATCAGTAGCTCATGCCTGTAATCCTAGCTACACAGGAGGCTGAGATTTGAGGATCATGGTTCAAAGCCAGCCTGGGCAGGAAAGTCCATGAGATTCTTATCCTCAATAAAACCACTAGAAAACTGGAAGTGGCACTGTGACTCAAGTGGTAGAGCACTCGCCTTGAGCTGAAGAGCACAGGGTCAATGCCCAAGCCCAGAGTTCAAGCCCCACGACCCTCCCCCCCCCCCAAAAAAAAAAAAAAAAAACGAAATAACAAAATCACTGAGACCTGTTCTCTTTTTATGCTTTCTGCTTAAATATAGAAGCCAAAGTTTTTTTTAAAAAGTGCCATTTCTCCATAAATAGAAGTCACTGTTACTTTTATTTCATTTTTAATTTTTTTTTTTTTTTTTTGTCGGTCGTGGGGCTTGAACTCTGGGCCTGGGCGCTGTCCCTCAGTCTCACGGTCTCTCCTGCCCGGGCTGGCTTTGAACCGCGATCCTCAGATCTTAGCCTCCTGAGTAGCTAGGATTACGGGCGTGAACCACCAGCGCCCGGCTCATTTTTAAATTTTTATTGTAGAAGTGATGTACAGAGGGCTTACAGTTAGTCAGGTAATGAGTATATTTCATTTTGAACAGTGTCACCTCTTCCTTCCTTTCTTCCTTGTTTTTTCCCTTCCCAACCATCAGCCCCGCCGGTTGCACAGCTAAGTTTCAACAGTGTCTAGTGAGTATCACTGCTACTTTGCTCACCCTTTGTCCCACCTTTTCTGTGCTCCCTCTTATCTTCCCCCAAACAGATTAACTTGCATATAAGACAAAACATAATAAAAGAGAGGGAAAAAACCACAACCAAAACAAAGAGTAAAATAACAAAAAAGAAATCTTGTTTCCATTTCTTGGAGTTCATTTTGATAAACACCATTTTATATGCCTTTGTCATCCTCTCCTAAGAATATCTTCCTTTAATCTCACTGTGTAATGTTTAGAGTCCTGCTTATCATGTCTAGGTGTAATCTTTTTGTTTTTTACCATGTATTGTGTTTTGTGGATTTATAGGCACCTTCTAATTACTATAAATGAGGGAAACTCAAACTTGGAAAAAAATTATTAAGAGAAGCCAGACTCATTGTTACTTTAAAAAGTCTTAAGTAAAAAATAAAAAATAAAACAAAACCTTATTCAACACATCTATTTGGCTCCTGAGGATAGCACTTAGCACTTACTTTTTATCTGCTCCGCTTGCTAGCTGAGGCAGGGCTTCCAAGGCCTGTTTAAAACTAGATCTAGAATACAAAACATAGTGACATTCAGGCCTACTGTTCCCAGCTTATTATAGTTAATGAGGATCACTAAAACAATTCTAAAATATATTTTAAATAGAAAGAAACAATATAAGCCAGTATAGCAAATAGTAATCTGAGAAAAAGTAAAAGTGAAAAACAAAAAAAGTAAAAGTAAAAGTAAGGCTATGGTAAGGCAGACAACCTTTGAAAGTTAGGACCAGAAAGATTCAGACAGGAAGTGAAATGTGATCTGACTGAAAGGATGTTACTGGAAAAAGAGATGAGTTTGTGTAGATGTGTTTAATTCATTTTTTTTTCTTTTCAAAACAAATTATAGATAAAGCAACTAGCAGGAGAGGAAGGAAACTAAATAGGAATGGATATGTACTACACATAGGAATGTATATAGCTTACTGTATATAATATTATAGTATAAAATAGTAATTATAGTATAATAATCTCATGTTGTATGGTATATTCTTACACATTAGGATGTTTAATGTTGACATAGATAGGGTCTCATTTACAGAAAGATTTTTGTATAATTGAATATGGTCCTTTTGGGATTTAACTATTTAAAATCTGTAGGATATGCAGTATCATTTCTCTATATAAAAGAGGCAAAAGGAATGAACTCAAAGACCAAGAGTTAGTGTGGCTCAAGTGGTACAGTGCTAGCCCTTGAGTACAAAGAGGCTAGGGATAGTGTGCAGACTGAGTTCAAACCCCACAACCAACCAAAAAAAGAAAAGACCACTTTTTAATGTGATTTGCCTTAGTAAGTAGTATATATCAGAAAAAATTATGGTACCAAATGAAAAGCACATTAGGAAAGGTTATTTGATAATAACTCATCCTGCTCACTAAATAGAAGTCTGAATTATTTTTGTTGTTGTTGTTGTTGTCTTAGGCCTTGAACTCAATGCCTAGCAACTGCCTCCGAGCTCTTTTGCTAAAGATTAGCGCTCAACCACTTTGAGCCACAGTACTACTTTCTAGTTTTCTGGTGGTTAATTGGAGATGAGTCTCATGGATTTTCCTGCCAAGGCTGGCTGGGATCCTCATATCTCAGCCTCCTGGTAGCTAGTACAAGTGTGACAACAAAGATATCTATACTGTAAAAACACTTTTTATCAATCTACTAGGAAATGAAATTTTGAGCAACATTTTTCTATCTAGGGGTCGATGTCACAGTATCATGTAAAGAGAATGTAAAGTGCCAATAGTTATGAAAATGGGCACAGATATACTTTGCTTATCTCAGAGAGAGGCAGGCATAGAGTGGATGGGGACCAGGGCATGTTGGAACACTTGGTTGCCTTCAGTATAACATTAGCTCTCCTAAGTTTTAAAGTAGGAGAATATTGCCAATAACTCTAGCACTACCTTGTTTCTTATAAAGCTTTCCTTAATAAATCAGAAGAAATATGATCCTACACTGTCCTTTATGTTCATCATAACAAAAATGGCAATGAAGATGAAGACCAAGATTCTAAACTTAAGGTTTTAGAGAGTGACAACATGTTTTGTTATTTAATCTCCTTAAAACTGCCTGGAAAGTACTGCAGTTAGTCCATCTCTAATGTGAAAGTCTGAAATTTTATATGCTTCAAAATCTGAAACTTTTTGAGCATAATATGATGTCACAAGTGGAAAGTTCCACACCAAACAAAATTACGGTGTGGACTGAAACATGAATGAATTGTATATACAGACTTGGCTCCATCTCCAAAACATATCATTATGTATTACAAATATTCCAAAATAAAAAAAAAACTGAAATCCAACAGACTTTTGGTCCTGAGCATTCCAGATAAAGGATACAGCCTGTATTACCTTCGTTTTATAGCTGAGGGACTCAGGCCAAAAGATTGAGCTCATGAAGGAAACAGGTATGTATACCAAGTAGCTGTGAACTGGGTGCTTCCTGTCTCCTGCATGTACTTTGTGCAGGAAAATGATAGCTTGAAAAGGTGTGACTAAATGAGAAACGTGGAAGCCATATGGAAATGGCTTCTTGTAACCATGAGAAATAGGAATGAGAAGCACAGTTCATTTATTAGGAAAAAAATATTTTATAAGGTCTTTTTTTGTAATGATAATAAGAACAATGACATAAACTATGTTATCAAATGCTAGAAATGAAGATGTGTACTGCAGGATGTCCTGTTTGTATACTACTTACTTCTCATGCACATTAACATTATAACCCAGTATTTTCTTGGAGATATTGTGAATGTGGTAAACAATTTTGTATAGGCAAATAGTAATTCTGTTTCACTTTACCTATGATAGGAAATCCTGACTTTCATTCAAAACAGTTAAAAATTATCAGCAAATTTCCACTACTAAATTCTACAGAGAAACCACAAGGTTTCCTTTCATGCTGATATTTACAACAATTGTACTGTCCTTCTAGTCTGCTATGAACAAACTATCACTCAATTCTTTTTCTCTTTTTTTTTAAAAGGAAATATGTAATGCTGCCATATTACTTAGGAGACTAGATTAATAAAAACAATGTGTATTAAACCTCATTTCTTTATGTTGTGCTACAGAAACTGATTTTTAGAGTCCTGGCTTATTGTAAGCTTGTGCCCTTTAGCTAAAAACAACTGCACAGACTATCAACTTTACCACACACAAATTTATGAGCATTTGCTCTGATTACTTACCTTTATAATACACTAAAAAAAGCATCTTTATCTTTATACAATACTTAGACCAAGAGTATATGGTACTTACTTGCTTTCAGTTGTCAGGTAAATGGCTACAGTGTCCCTCAGAGCACAGATTTCAAGTCTCGCCTAAAGATGAAAAAGAGTAACGAAAGGAAAATATGTCAATTATCAAATATACACAAGGACTGAGTGGAACAGTCTCTAGCCTATAACTGTAGGTCAGGGTAGACATATACCATCTTGGTTGGAACAGACTTTCAAAAAAAGAGACCGATGATATCAGCTATGAAAAAAATCTCTATTTATTTAAAATTAACTTATAGTCAAGTAAGACTATATACAGCAGAAAGCTACAAATATTACTATGAGAAGGACAAATGGTATAATGCTTTTCCAACAATCTATCTAACTAGCAATTTGCCTTTTAATCTGGCTCTTAGAGGAAGGAAACTCTGAAGCACTGGCCCTGAGAGGCCTCTGTCCTACAGTGGAGGAGGTGTGTTCTCACAGCTATGCTCCTTTCAAGTTTACACTGAGCTCTACAGATTCAATGTAAAGCCCTATTAAGATCATAAAATTCATATGGAAATTAAGAAACACAGAAGAGCCGCTTTCTGGGTTAAATGTTAATTACCAAGCTACAATGGTCATGTTAGTGCAGCACTAGCACATGGACAGATATATAGACCAAAGGTATAGAACTCAAGAGTCCAGCTCTTACAGTTATGATCAATTAATTTTCAACAAGAGTGTCAGGAATATGCAATGGGGAAAGAAGAATCTTGTCAACAAATGATACTAGAACTAATGAATATTCCACACAGAAAAGAATGAACATGGAACCCTTTATTTTAGTAAATGTCCATGACCTTGACAAGCCTTCAAAGATTTAATGCCAAACATACAAACACGGAAAATAAAAATAAACTGGACCTCATCAAAACTAAAAACTACTGGGATAAAATAGATACAATTAAAAAAGCAAAAAGACAACTCACAGAATTAAGATATTATTTCACAACCACTATGATGGTTACAATCAATAAGAAACTGAAACCTTATAAAACAGTATAGCCACTTAGAAAGACAGTCTAGCAGTTGCTCAGATTAAATACAGTAATAACCATATGCACTAGCCATTCCTCATTGGGGTATACACTAAGAGTAATAAAAACATGTCCATCAAATGGGATTGCATGAAATTGCAGAGCTTCTGCATGACAAAGGACATAGCTAGCAAGATTAATAGAAAGCCCACGGATTGGGAGAAGATCTTCACTAGCCTTACAACAGACAAGGGTCTCATATCTAAAATATACCGGGAATTCAAAAAATTAAATCCCCACACAACAAATCCTCAAAGAAACAACTGCCCAATAAATAAGTGGGCTAAAGACTTAAAGAGAAACTTCTTTGAAGAGGAAAGAAGGATGGCTAATAGACATGTGAAGAAATGCTTAACCTCTCTAGCCATAAAAGAAATGCAAATCAAAACAACACTGAGGTAACACCTCACCCCAGTTAGAATGGCAAAAATCAAGAACTCTAATAACAACAGATGCTGGAGGGGATGTGGCCAGAAGGGAACCCTACTGCATTGTTGGTGGGAGTGTAAACTTGTTCAACCACTTTGGAAAGCAGTATGGAGGTTCCTCAAAAGACTCCACATAGAGCTCCCCTATGACCCAGCAATCCCACTTTTGGGCATTTACCCAAATGCTCACAAACAAGGCCACACTAAAGCTACCAGCACGACTATGTTTATTGCAGCATTATTTACCATAGCTAAGATATGGAACCAACCCAAATGCCCCTCAGTAGATGGAATGGATAAAAAAAAATGTGGTATATATACACAATGGAATTCTATGCCTCCATCAGAAAGAATGACATTGCCCCATTTGTTAGGAAATGGAAAGACTTGCAAAAAATTATATTAAGTGAAGTAAGCCAGGCCCAAAGAAACTTAGGTCCCATGGTTTCCCTTATTTGCAATAACTAGTATATGTCCCAGTCAAGCAGAAAAGGTCAGATAAGTTGATGTTAGGGAAATGAACCCTAAGATATGTATTCAAATGTTTTTTTTTTCTTTTTTTTTTAATTTTATTTTATTTTATTTGAGAACATACTGTACAGAGGGGTTACAATTACATGGGCAGGATAATGCATACATTTCTTACCAAGCATTGCAGCCTCCTCCTTTGTTTACCCTTGACCTCCCTTCCCAGCCTCCCCCCTCCCCCCCACCCAATCATACCTCCCCTTCCCCCCCCTACACCGACATTGTAAAGCTGGTTTTGACATGACATTTTGTACTTCTCATTGTTGCAACAGGTCCACCTGAATCCTTAAACGATTTGTTTGTCCCCATCTCCTCCACATGTTATACGGACATCAAATATAGTGAAAGCGGGGGTTACACTGTGGGGGAGGGACATACAAAGCAACAAAGAAATAATCTTATGAATGCGTTAGAAACACATGCATGAAAGAAACAAAAACATTAAAATACATATTTGAGGGTTCGTTTTCCTAACCAAATGTTTTTTTTTCTTTCAGGTGATTGTTTCTAACACATTTATAAGATTATTTCTTTGTTGCTTTGTATGTCCCTCCCCCATGTATAACCCCTGCTTTCACTGTATTTGAGGTTGGTATAATTTGTGGAGGGGAAGGGAAAAAACAAATTGTTTAAATAGGAATACAGGTGGATCCATTGCAACAATAATATGTACAAGTCATTATGTGGAAAAATGAACTTTACAACTATGGTGGGGGGGGGGGAGGAGGATTGAGTGAGGGGGCGGGAGGAGGATGGGAAGGAATGGGAAGGGGAAACAAAGGAGGAGGCTACAATGCTTGATAAGAAATGTACTCATTATCTTGCCCATGTAATTTTAACCCCTCTGTATAGTATTTTCACAATTTAAAAAAAAAAACATGTCCATATAAAAATTTGTATAGGAATGCTCAGAAAGGCATTTTTTTATATCAGCCATAAAAGTGGAAAAAATCCAAATGCCCATTATCTGTTATACAGATGGTGTATATTATTTATATTATATATAATATACATACATACCCATATACATATATATGCATATATATTTATGCAAAAGAATATTATTTATATAAAAATACAGTACAATAGACCCTTGGTATCCATGGGTATATGGCTGCAAGGAAACCAACACTGATGACAAACGGCAAATGTTCAGGATGCTCAGAATTCAGTACTGAATGAATGTTTTATTCTTTTCCCAATAATGTCACCCAACTTCTACTAAAAACGATTTCTTTCAACAAATCCTAAAATTTTATCATTTAGGCTAAACAACCTTTATATTGCTTTTGGAGTACAATTTACTTTTCAGGAGGTAGATTTTCTCAAAACTCAGGATTTGTAATATTTAGAATATCAGACAACAATTGAAGTACAAAATATGACCAGATAAGATGAAATTAAGTGAAATGAACCCCAAGAAAGGGACACAAGTGGTTTTTTCTTTCTGGCTATTGTTTCTAACCTATTTATAAGGTACCATGTGTTTTTTTTTTTGTTGCTTTGTATGTTCCTCCCCCACGGTATAACCCCTGTTTTCACTGTATTTGATGTCGGTATAATTTGGGGAGGGGAGGGGAAAAAACAAAATTTTTAAGTAGGGATACAGGTTGACCCATTGTAACAATGAGATGTATAAGCTCCTATGTTGACAAACAAACTTTACAGTTTGAGGGGGGGGGATGTAGTTGTGGAAGTGGGAGGGAAGGGATGGTAGGGGAAAAACAGAGGAAAAGGCAACAATGATTGATAAGAAATGTACTCTCATTACCTTGCTCAGGTAAGTGTAACCCCTCTGTACAGTATTTTCACAATAAAAAACATTAAAAAAAGATAACATGGGCTTGACTGAGATCTTCTCTACTTCAACTGAGTAATGCAAGGGACGCACAGGAATTAAAATTGTTTGGTTTTGAAATTTCTTTGGATTTTTAAAAATGCTTCTTTCTGACCATGCTTGGTTGAAACCACATGTAATAAATCTGTGACTAAGACATGCTTGTGGTACTAGTACATGGCATAACATAGTGGAATATGGAAGCACCATAACAAGAAAAAGAAGCCAGTCAGAAAAGACCATATTGGCATGGTTCCATTTGTATTAAAATTTCAGAATAGATAACAGAATAGGTAGCCGTCAGCTGGTGGTTGTCATAGTGGGGAAGTGTGTTGAAAGAAGATGACTAGTGTGAATGCTAATGGGGTTGGAGTTCCTTAGATCGATGAAGTGTTGTTTCTAAAGACTGATTATGATAATGACTGAACATCTTTGTGGATATACTGAACATCCTTGAATTTTGTACTTTATATATTGCAGTAAAAAGTGTAAAGTATTATGTCATATATCTGCTCAAAAAAATAAAGAGCTAATCCAAAGCCTTCATTTCCATGTGAATTGAAGATATATGACCTAGCTAGGCACTGGTGGTTCATGCCTGTAATCTCAGCTACTCATGAGGCTGACATCTGAGGATCATGGTTTGAAGCCAGCCCAGGTAGGAAAATCCATGAAATTCTTATCTCTAATTAACCATCACAAAGCTGGAAGTGAAGGCATGGCTCAAATGACAGCACCAGCCTTGAATGAAAAAGCTAAGGGAAGAGTGCCCAGGCCTTGAGTTTAAGCCCTAGTGATGGCACCAAACAAATAAATGAACAAATTAAAAAAAAATGTAACCTGATATCCAGAAGAACCACAGATGGATAAGATCTGTATCCATTTACTGTATTCTCTGACACAAGTACCCATGGTGAGAGTAATGGACTATAGAATACTTATATAAACTGCCCTATTCTTAGAAGCATATTAACATAAAACACTGACCAAAAGGCACAACTAGTTCTTTACATGTCAGTTAATTAGAAATTCTGTAAGCTACCTAGATAAAAGTTGATTTGTATCAGTTTATTCAGTGACTTTCAGTTTGGAAAGCAGTTGTTTGGCTTCATTTTCAGTGCACTTTAGAAATGTAAAATTATTTGTAATTAGAAAGTTTAATGTACGACAATTTCAGCTTCTATTGCTTTATGTTCTTGTAAATGTAAAAACAGACATAATAGGAGAATACCAAAGAGAAAAATAAGGTGGAAGTTTTAGTTGAATATTTTTAGAAGGCAGATTAAATAGCTACAAAATTAATCTTCAGATGAATTGATTTTATTCAATCAGTTTTAAGGTATTTCAAGTAAACTATGAACTTTGCCAATTATAAAAACTTAGTTTACTTATAAACTGTAAGTCAGAAAATGACAAACTAAAAGATTGCTAAATGTACTGGCCTTCCTCATTCAATGTGCTCTCATAAGGTTCCAGAGACTGGCACTTTGGAAAGTGACAAATATGAACCTGCAGACACTCTCAGATACCTGTGTCAGAGAAGGTTCTAATAGTCATTCTCAAAAGGAACACATAATAGGAGTTCAGCTCAAACAAACATTTTCAAAACAGTCCCTAAGCGGGATCGAAATATTGCAGACTTCAGTTTAGGCAGTTACTCTTAACAAGCACTCTTGATAGTGTACATCAAGTAAACTCCACTTTAGTCTGTATCTCTTCCCAATGTCTGCCTGCTAGATCTGAGGGGTTTAGCCTACAGGTAAATGAGTTACAGAGGTAATGTATGAAGAGTGTGAACCACCAAGGTTGATAGAGCAATCTTTTTTTTCATTTAGCTTCATCATTACACTATGTATACTATTGATCTTCAGTGATGAGACCATTATAATAATCAACCTTTCAACTTAATATATAAATCAAAGTGTTGATGAAAATTAAAAAAATTTGGTGGCAAATGGAAATGCAGCATAAATTTTTGTAATAGATTTCTCTAACTAAATAACAAATGTTTCCCATTCCTTTTCTCCTCCACTATTTTACTATGAAAAATTTCCAACATATTGACTTTGAAAAATTTTACAGTAACTACTCACAGGCTCTGTCATTAATATTTACTTGAATGTGTCACGTAACTATCACCATTCCGTCACACACAGTTTAATTAGACTATACATGCCAGTTGTGCTTTTCTTTTGGCAGTAGTGACTTCACCCTTGCTAGGCAAGGGTTCTTATCACTTGAGCCATGGCCCCAGCACTTTTGCTTTTGTTTGTTTTCATATGGGCATCTCACTTTGTTTGCCTAGGATAGCCTCTAACCATGATTCTTTTACTTTATCTCTTATGTAGCTAGGAGGTTTGCCTTGTTTTTGAAAAAGGTCTTGCTTGTCCCTGGTCTAACCTCAAATCACAAACCTCTTATCTTTGTCTCCCAAGCAGCTAGGATTACAGGTGAGTGCCACTGTGGTTGGCATTAGTTATTTCTTTTTATTTAGAGTTTACATTTCACACAACTGCCACAATCTCAAGGTCTTCTAGGAGTGCTTTAGCCAGTGTACATACCTATGTGGTGGAAAGCCATATCAAAGTATACAACCTCCTTCACATACTTTCAAATTAAAACTAGGCACCCAAAAGAAACCACTATTTCTACCAGAGTAGTTGTTTATACTAGAACTTGCATGTATGAATCTACACAGCACACATATATTTTGTGAAAAGCTTTTAATGTATAAACTTCCCAAGATGCCTCTATATTTTCAGTAGTTTGTCCTTTTATTAATAGCGAAAAACATTTGCTTAGGTGATTATATGGCAGTTTATTTTATTTATAGACAATTGGAGGGTTTTCAGGTTGGACTATTATGAATAAGATTGCCCTGTATTCTTTTTTTTTTTTAAATTGTGAAAATACCCTACAGAGGAGTTACAATTACATTGGCATGCCCTGTATTCTTGTAAGTGGTTTTCCTTCCTTCTCTCTCTCCTCCTACCCACCTCCCTCCCTTTCCTTCCCTCCCTCCTTCCCTTCTCCCTCCCTTCCCTTCCCTTCCTTCTTTCCTTTGAGGGTACATTTTCAGTTCTAGCCATCATGAAGATTCAAATAGCTGGGTCACAGAGTATGTGTATGTTTAGTTCTAAAAGAAACAAAAGCATTTCCACCAAATTGAACTATTTTACTTCCCCAATTGCATGTGAGTTCCATTTCTTGTATGTTCTTGACAATTTGGTATTGTCGATCTTTAAGTTTCTTTATCTTGATGTCCAAATGACATCATATTTCCATGTTACTTTTCATTTTCCTGACCTTCCTTTCCTGTGCTGATTGGCCAACTTCATTGCTTTCAAAACCTACTTACATGCATGCTAGATGTGCTGACATTGAGGAATTCCTGGAGTTGTTTATTTTTCCCAATTACTATTTTCTCTATTCTTCGACTGGATAATTTCCATTGGTTTACAAGCTAAGTGACTTTTTCCTGTATCCTTTATATACTGCTATACTCATCTACTAGATTAAAAAAGTTATATATTGTATTTTCCACTCAGGTTGTTGTTTTTCAAATGATTTCTATTTCATGGCTGAGAACTTAATTTTTGATTCATTATAAGTATATCTCCTTTCCATCACTGGTCATAACTCTAGGTCTGCTATATCCAAACACTGGGTCATCTTGAGGTTGGGCTCAGTTGACTATCTTTATTATGTGGGCAGTGGTTTCCTGTTTTATTTGTCTATTTTCATAAAATTTCAGTTACTTTTAAATTTATATCCTGGACTCTGTGAATATGTTTGGAGATTCTAGACTGTTACATGCCCCTATAGAATGCTGACCTTTTGCTTTGCTTGTTTTAGCATGTAATTACATTATTTGGATCCATACTGAACAATAGTTCTGGCTCTAAGATAGCAGTGCCATGCTTACTTCTGTTCCTGTAGCCTTAGCCAGTCTAGAGACATGTCTTATGAGCCAGCCAAAGAGTTGAGGTAGTGAGTATGTATCAGATCTTATGGTGCCTACTTTCTACTCTCTGGATATTTTTTTCACTTTTCTATAGTTGAACTTCCCTGGAGCCTATGGTTTAAACCAGAAAGATAGCAAGCTCTGTATTCTGGTACAGGTGCTATTTCCTCTAGAACTTGTTCACTCACTGACTCACTCTCTGGGTCTCCAGATAGTGTTTTTGTTTTGTTTTGAATTTTAATAAAAATGTTACTCAAGGCTGCAGGTGTTATCTGTGGAAGGTAGGTAGCCAGAGTCCCAGGCATTTCTGTCTACCATTGTGGTAAAGCTCCAACCCCATTATTTTAAAAACACAACCCCAATGTTCTTTGTATACAAATAGCTCACAGGTAGGAAATCACTCTTTTATTTTCCTGAACACCTAGATTCTTACCAGTTTACTTTACATGTGTACTAAGAATCAACTAGTCTAAAAAAGTTTTATTATAAAATTTAAATAACTAGGATATAGGCTAATGGAACATGAGTACAATGAGACAGCTACTGGTAGTTTAAATGTACATTATATTCAATGCTTTGGTGATACTTACTAAAGTTATTACAAATTTCCTATGTGTGGGGGGAACTGGGAAATTTTATGTGAAATTGAATATAGTAAAGTACAACATGTTTTTAAAAAAAATCACAATGTTATTGAAAGAATCTGCATTTAGATAATGTTTATAAGACCATGGTTTTACTCTACTTCTAAGTCTGGAATAGAAACTTTAGAACACTGTGGTTATGGTTCATGCAAGAAAGATGATACACGTCTGCCCTAAAATCAAAAACCAGTCTGTACATTGTAAAATGGTAAGTATACTTATATATTTTAAATAAAAATAAAAATTTAACACAGATTTGAATAATTTTGCTACCTGTAATGCTCCATTTTTGCTGAAGGATGAGACACACTGCATCAGTCTACTCAGCTCTTCAGAAACTGCTTCTACCACCTTAGACAGGACTCGTGGCACCAATTCTTTGGAAATAGTGAACACCTGATGTAAGGTTTAAAGTAAAAAGAAACACTGAATTATGGGGATTTTTTTATCATACTTAAATTTAATAAATTTATTAAATTTATTAAAAAGAAGTAGCATATAAAACTTATATGTAGATTTTCTAAGTCATATTTTTAAAAGGCCAAAGTTATGAATGAAAAATAGACATAAATTTCAATTATATTAACTGATCAGTGAAGTTTTTTTTTTTTTACTTCTTTTATTGTGAAAATACTGTACAGAGGGGTTACAATTACATGGGCAAGATAATGAGTACATTTCTTATCAAGCATTGTAGCCTCCTCTTTTGTTTCCCCTCCCCATCGTTCCCCCCCCAACCCCCCCAATCCTCCTCGCCCCTCCCTTCCCCCACCCAAAGTTGTAAAGTTCGTTTTCGACATAACAACTTGTACATCTCATTGATGCAATGGGTCCACCTGTATCCCTATTTAAACGATTAGTGACAAGTTTTTTTTAAAATACATTATTAAAAATAAAAATTTAAAAGGTATTGTTGATGTTGACCAACTGAAAATTGTTTTGAAGATTTCCTTTTATTGGCCTCTCAAAGGAAATAAATATAATTTCTAAAGAAGAGATTAGAAAAATATACTACAGATAGTTATTTTGCCACAATTAAGAAAAATAACGAGCTGCTGAGGCTGAGGTGGTACATTCTGGTCATCCCAGCTACTTAAGAAGATGAAATCAGGGGATTAGCTAAGCCCAAGAGCTGGAGGCCAGGCTGACCAACAAAGTGAGACTTTGTCTCTTAAAAACAAAACAAAAAAACTTGTGTCAGACTGTCCTTAGAATATTTCAAAGCCCTTCACACTGAGTTGCAACTCTGTACTGGAAAAGGTCTCTAGTTTTATGCTATACTAAATACATTATTTTCTTTTATTTGTTCAACATAGAACATTATTTTCAAACTTTAACATTCAACACTTTTAAACTGAGAGATACTATACTTGGGCTTACCAAAACATTTTACTCTCCTGATTTATAACCTAAAGTAAATGATGTTTTATTTCTAGCTTTTGCTTTTTTTCTTTTGATTGAGTCACTAGTATTAATTAAATCATCACCAACCCAAACATAACTGAATTGCTCAAAAAAAAATTCTGACAATTTAAGAACATGTGACAAACATTAGGAGTACAATGATACTTTTAGTCATTGATCTAAACTGAAAGAGGACTTGAAAACCAGCTATTTATAATCTCAGGTTACTGACAATGGCCATCAGCTAATCTGCCTTAACACAAATCAACAAGGTCACTGATTATATGCAATTGGAATGTTCCAGCACTGATTATGTCAAGTATACTCAGATTTTAACAATACTACCATTTTTATATTCCTGATAAAAGCCACAATTAAATACTATTCCTAATTATAAAGAGGTCTGTAGGAGTTAAATGTCATAAAAACCATTTTTATAGAGAAATTTGCTTCCTTTTTTACTAAGAAATGAAAATTATAGCATACTAAATAAAGTGTGCTCAAATTACTTCAAACTTAGGAAATAGGTGGCAATTTCTTTATTATCTTTACTGTTCTTTAGCTTTTCAACTTCACCACAATAGCCTCAGTGTCTCTGGATGGAGAAGCAGGATAAGCCTAGAGGAACGTATCTGGAACATAAGCTGAGAGGTACTTAGGCAAAAGTAGTAATCACTTAATGGTAACAGCTTCACTCTGCCCTATTTTATCTGGTTTCCCATCAATCTGTGGGTTAAATGTTGGCAAAGCAATGAGTAATGGACTAAGAAATCACTGGGTGAAAATGGGTCATCGTTGTGGTGAGAGTGGTTGGTAGCTGTGGTACCCTTTGTGGCAGCTTAATGTTCCCAAAAAGGGTCATCTTCCCAGGATGTTTAGAAAAGATGTTAGCATGAAACTTCAGGTGATAATGCTTCAGGGAAAACATGTTTATGCACAAAACAATAAGTTCCTAAGCCAACACTATTGATAAGAAATTACACATCTACTTCTTTTTGACTTCAGCTACCCTGAAAGCCTGTCTTTCCAGCAAGTTTCTAACTTTTCTGGAATCCCCACAATATATGCAACAGGAAAGACACACCAAAGCTTATTTGTAGTCTGGCTAAAAGAGGATAATAAAAATTTCCATCTTTAGAGGTAAAACCTCCTTCCATTCTATTTTTTGGTACCTTCCAAATATTACTGAATTATCATGAAAAAAAACTTGTACATAGTGTCTAGTGAGTACCACTTCTGCATTTGTTCATGCTTTGTCCCACCATTTCTGTGTTCATACCCTCAGTCACCCTTCCCAGAGACAGATAAATGAACAAACAAGACAAAAAGGAAAATGAAATGTTGAAAATGAACTATACAACAGTGGGTGTGGATAGGAGGGAAAAACTGGGAGAGGAAAGGAGTGACATTGTTCATCCCTTATCTGACTATGTAACTGAAACTCATCTGATTGATCACCTTTATAATATAATAATTAAAATACAAGGAGAAAAAAAGAAAAAAAACCTGTACAATTCTGAAGCAGGGGATAGTAATTGAGTTTGCCTTTTTTTCCTCTCGTTTTCCTTTTTAGTTATCCTCCTTTCTTAGGAACAGTTAATAACAGCTTACCTCTGCATGCACAGCAATTATATTCACTAATGCTTCTTTTAAGTAATTTCTGACACCTGAAATGGAGATGAGGAAGAAACAGGTATTTAGTGAGAGCAGAGCCAGCCTCTTTCCTGCTGGAATTAGCATAGGCTGTGCTGTGCCTCGAGATCCTGAGTGGGGAGAAACAGAAAGCAGCAGCAGCACTACCACCACTATCTGTTTCCTTTTGAGAATCAAATGGTTGACAGGACTGTTTTCATACAGATCAAACAAAGGTTAAATTGGGAATTTCCTTAAATGCTGATTATAAGCTATTAGTCAACTTACTTCAAAAATAAAATTCAAAAATGCCTTTCTATTTCTTCATGAATATATATCAATAGCAGACAAACTCAATGAACAGAAGGATGATTTTTAACAAAACTTCATAAAATGTACATTAGGTATCATAGCCTATTACTTCCAAAGGTAAAAGAACGACAATTCTGAACTGAAGGTATCACTTTGAGGAGAAACCTCTCAGAAACAAACACTGATCTGATTCTGTAAAGCAAGTTAAGCACTGTATAAATGATTTTCGATTATAGCTCCAGAAACAATGAGCATGCCTTCACTCAATAGCACCCAGAAGATGTATGAGTGCTGAGGTTAAGGCCACATTTTACAAGCAAACCTCAGTTTCAACACCTACTAGCTGTGGATTTTGGAGAGAAGGCCTGAGTCTTAGTCTACTCCTCTGTCAAATGGTTATAAAAATCGTGACACTGCAGAGGATGAAAGGAGCAATGCTTGTCTTCTCTGACCTCTGAATGTTCCATTAGAGTTTCATCACCAATATCTTGCATATAAAATAAGAAAATGCTATTTTTGCAAAACCACATATACTTGCATAAATACATTATTAAGCATAGACTTACAACATTGCCCCTCCTTTCGCTTAATTAGCAAAGTTGAGAAAGACCATAAAATATAATCAAGTTTTTGGATGGGCACCTTCAGACTCTAAATATACAACTGGCTTTGGATTCTGTCACGTATGATAATATATAAGAAAGTATAGGGGCTAATTATGTATATATGTACGTTTTTAGACATGAATAACAATGTTGATGGGATACTTGAAAATTCTGAGTGAAGAATTATAAATATAATACAGATATGAACTGCTTCTTTCTGAGAAAAGGGAAATTACAACAGAATAAGTATTATATGGGAGGACAGAAGAACATAAAAGCCTATATAATATGCTGATAAATGAAAGTAAAACTAATTTAGAGACTGGAGCAGCTTTCTTCACATTAGAGGAGAGTAACACTGACTGGCTTCCTGCTGTTGTACAGCTCATAGATGTACCCTCTGGCCCGAGTCTGATCACTGTCTCAGATCTAGGGTCTTTTAACTGCAATTCTATGGAAGGTCTGTTCATGTACATTCATCTACATTCACTAAAACATAGGCATAATATTAAGCCCATGATGAGTGTAAGAAACTAAAAGAAGAAAATGCAGGGCTCAGAATGTGACTTAGTGGTAGAGTGCTTGCCTAGCATGCATGAAGCCTTGGGTTTGATTCCTCAGTACCACATGAATAGAAAAAAAAAGGCGCAAGTGGTGCTGTGGCTCAAGTGTTAGAATGTTAGCCTTGAGCAAAAAAAGCTCAGGGACAGTGTCCAGGTCCTGAGTTCAAATCCCAGGTCTGGCCAAAAAAAAAAAAAAATGCAATAGCCTCTGTCCTAAGGAAATTAGGATCCCATCAATTGCTACTATAAGAACAAAAGTCAGGGTCCACCGGTATCCCTATTTAAATGGTTTGTTTTTGCCCTTCCCCGCTTGTATTTGATGTTGGTATAATTTGTGGAGGGGAAGGGAAAAAACAAACCATTTAAATAGGGATACAGGTGGACCCATTGCAACAATGAGATGTACAAGTCCTTATGTTGAAAAATGAACTTTACAACTTTGGCTGGGCTGAGGGGAGGAGGGGTTGATGGGATGGGATGGGATGGGATGGGATGGGATGGGAAGGGATGGGAAGGGGAAACAAAGGAGGAGACAACAATGCTTGATAAGAAATGTACTCATTACCTTGTCCATGTAATTGTAACCCCTCTGTACGGTATTTTCACAATAAAAAAATTTTTTTAAAAAGTACAAAAGTCAGGAGAGTTTGGATTCTCACAATGTTCTAGCAATGGTGAACAAAAATTTAAGGGTGGTTTGTAATTTTTAAAACTGTTCTATATAAATAAAGAATGGGGCCAGAGTGCTAACTAAAAAGCTAAAAATGAGACTTAGAACTAAGCAAGAGGGTGGAGTGGGAGTAGGGGGAGGGAAAGGAGAAAAATAAGGGAAAGGGTAATAAGTTTGACAAGAAATGTACTTATTACTTAACTAATGTAAGGTAACTGTAACCCCTCTGTACATCACCTTGACAAAAAAAAGAATTAAGCAAGAAAATGTCATGCTCAGTGGCAGACTGCTATGAACTTAACTCCTTTCTGACTCTGATATAAAAAAAAAAAAAAATCATTTCCTGTAACAGCTATTAGACTAATTATTACTAATAAAACACACATTAAAACACACTAATAAAAACACACATTTAAGTTAGCCAACATAATAACAGCAAGTAATAACAGCAAGAATACTTTTGACCAGAAGAACCGTATTTCTGCAAAAAAAACATTTTGTTTATAAATGTATTTGTGTTGTATCAAGGAAAAATCTACAAATTAGAGCAGCTTAGAAACTCTTCCCAAACTGAGTAAGTAGCATATGCATTTGAGGCAAAGTATAACAAACAAATTATACTAAAATTCCACCTTCCAGAGTACTTTGTGTGAAACTGCACAGAGTTGTGACAGATAGTTCATGATAGTTCACCACAATTATATTGTTATATTGGATACTGCATTTGGGCTATTTGCTACCATTGTGTAGCTTATGTGCTTGTTCAGTATTCTTTTCTACTTAAAAGAACCTTACTTTAACATGAGCAACAGTCTTACAGGTTGTAGCAGGCAAATGTAGACAGCATGAGTTTAAGACAGAGAAAATAACATGCCTTCTAGCCAAGTATTTATATCCTGTCTACAAACTATAGTCCCTGACATACATTTTGCTCCTTCCTGATAATTCAGTAGTATTTGAAAGGTACTAAGAAAATAGAATGGAAGGAAGTTTTTCCTCTGAAGATAGAAATTTCTGACAAAAATAGCTTCCTATTTTGGGCTGACCACCACAGGTTTCACATGGGTAATAATAAGAAGCAAGGAGGCATGTACAAATTTTATTTCTTCGAGATTTCACCTCTATGAAAAAAAAACAAAAGGGAAGAATTGATTTTCAGAATTTCTCCCCACAAAACAAGTAATAATACCAGAAAAAAAGGAAAGGGAAATCATTTGGTCCCCATGACAGACAGACATAGTGATCCTACTATGTCAGGCAATGAAGATCACAAAGGCTTTGTGACACTGATCTCTGAAAAAAGGTCCCTGGGCTTGAGGTAGAGCTTAGTAAAGCTGTTTTAACCTCCCAAAGCAATATGAGTCCTAGTTATAATTAAATAACTAGGTGGGACACACCTGTGTAACTCCACCACTTAAGAGGCTGAGGTAGGAGGAGCTCAAGTTCCAGGTTAACATGACCAGTATGGCAAGACATTCTCTCAAAGAATAAAAAAAGGTAAAATGTAAAAATCAATCACTTGTTCCTTTCCAGAAGGTATCTATTATGCTAAACAAAGCATTTTTATAAAACTGACTATTCAAGTTATGTTATTTTCCTTCTAAGGAAGTGACTAACAGTTCTCCTTCAGTCAGTTAATGTAAATTTACTAGATCCCACTACATTCTAGACACCATTAGATAGCTGCCAGAGGGATATTTTTTTGTGGGTCATGGGGCTTGAACTCAGGGCCTGGGTGTTGTCCCTGAGCTCTTTTGCTCAAGGATAGTGCTCTACCACTTTGAGCCTCAGTGCCACTTCTGGTTTTCTGGTGGTTAATTGGAGATAAAAGTCTCATGGACTTTCCTGCCTGGACTGGCTTTGAACCATGATCCTCAGATTTCAGCCTCCTGAGTTGCTAGATTACAAGTGTGAGCCACAGATGCCAGGCCAAAATGGTATTTTTCGATTTGGGGAATGGAGGAGGTGCAATGACTGGCTTTAGACACCGGTTCTCTCTTCCCTCGTACTGTATGTGGCTCACCTCCTCTTAGAGTGCTGGGTCCTCTCTCCCACTGTAATAGCTACACATTTGTCTGTGTAATTAATTACCTGAGTAACCCCTACTTCTTCTACTGGGCTGCAAAGTATAAGCATAGGGATCCAAGCATCATCTTCCTTACATTTTTAAACCCAGAACCTATGACAATGGCTATAGTAATGAATGAAAAAGAAAAAGAAGGTAAATATGTCTGTCTTGCATACCACTGAGTTCTTAGAGCTAAACATTAAGTGCCTCTGTTAATGTGAAAAGAAAATGTTTTCTGAAAAAGCATCTGTTACTTCTCACCAACTGTAGGAAAGCAGAAGTTCCTCTGAGAGTATGTGTAAAAAGCCATTTGAAAAATACAATTTGAGTAAAGTAAGTATAAGCAGAGTAGAATGTTGCTAAGGTTAAATCAGTTTTCCAAATTAACTTTATTTTTCTAGCTGTGTTTCTAAACTAACAGCTAATTGCAAACAGTAAACCAGTAAAGTGTTTGTTGAATGCTACATGCTAGATATTTAGAAAGATGAAGATGTATAACATAGTGGACATGTGTTACAAAAACTAGATTCTAGCTTGCACTTAAAGCGTAGTAGAGTATAAAATGCCAAATACATGGAGTAGACACCATTAGGGAAGCAACTATCAATGTGATGGCATGCACAGAAAAAAAAAAGGCAAACTAACTTGTTTCTTGGAAGTGTAAAAATGTGCCACATTATTATGCTATAGTAATAAGTATGGCTTTTAGAAAGGTTACCCACAGATTAAACCCCCACAAACTTTCCATGTTATTGAAGTGAGGGAATGGGAAACAGTGTCTAAGCATTTATAATATATGTAACTTCTCTATTGTCTG